GTAGTAGTAATAGTATAGTAGTAGTATTTGTAGCAGTAGTAGTAATAGTATATAATAGTAATGGTTGTAGTAGTAATAGTAAAGCTGTAGTAATAGTAGTAGTAATAACAGTAGTAGTAGTAATAGTATAGTAGTAGTAATAGCATAGTAGCAATAATAGTAGTAGTAGTAGTAATAGTAGAGAAGTAGTAATGGTAGTAATACTAATAATAGTAGTAGTAGTAGAAGTGCTAGTAATGGTAGTAGTTGTTGAAATAGTTGTATAGCAGTAGCAATAATAGTTTCTACAAGTTGCAGTAGAAGTAGAAATAGTAGTAGCAGTAGTAACATCAGACACAGCAGCAGTAGCAGTAAAGTAATTGTAGGAGTAGTGGTATTAGTAGCAGAAGCAGTAGTAGTATAATAGCCGTAGTAGCAGCAACAACAGTATAATTAGTAGTAGAAGTGGTAATAGTAGTAATACCAGCAATACTACTATCACCATCATTACTATCAGTCGTAATAGTAGTAGTAGTTGTTGTTGTAGAAGTAGTAGTAGTAATAACAGCAATAGTATTAGTATTAGTAATAAAAGTTGTAGTGCCAATAGTAGTATTAGCATCAGTATAGATGTTATCATATTGGTGATAATCCATGATGTAAAATTAATCCTTAAAAAATACCTACCACAGATATTCACACCAAACACTTCCACATTTATATTTTTATTTCAACCCACGCGCCACATAATATTCCATCCTTACAAACGTTATTATCCATATTGTCTTCCTTTCGTTTTTATCGTAATGTATTTCGGTTCGTTATCCTCCCCGTCGGCCATTACGGGCTGGGTGACGCCCCTCTCGTGTCACTCGTGTCGGGTAAGGGGGGGAGGAGCTGCTGTTCTCTGCAGCCTCTCTCCTCCCCCTTTCTTCCCCCTATCGGCCTTTTCCGTTCTATTTATCTGTTTCTCCTCCGCATGGTTGTTTTTTTGTTCGTTCGTTATAATGGTAATGGAGAGTCGCTTTGCAACATTGGTATTTATCTGCATTTAGTACGGTACAGTTGAGGTATAAAGTCTGTTTGCATTATGTTTTGGCTCAAGGATTTTGACTGATTTCGCGGGTTTTTCATATTCTGGAGGAAATCCAGAAAACCGCGATATCTTGCGGACGTTACGATGTTATTGGCAAACTTTCCTGTTAAAATCTCTTTCTGATCGTGTAATGAGGGGAAAGTTCAGTTGATTTAGGGTGCGGAATATAGTTTGGTACAAGTCTTATGCGCGAACTTCTTTTCTGCCATTTTTCTACTTGGATTGTTCAAAGTTTATGATGGTCGGATGCCAGGGTCTTTCTGGGCAATATAACTATTTTTCCCCGTCCTCTGAAATTATTTTCTGGTTTAAGTGAACCACTTTCGATATTCACTTATAATCACTCATAATCTAAGACTAAGCGTTTGAATTGGATTTTTCCTTAGAATTTATTTGCATTTTGTTCACAGATACCCATACCAACAAGGGAATCTTTTAATAATAAGCTGCCTTGCTATGTGTGCTGCCGTCATGCCGTTCACTTATTTGCGGATATTATCCTACTATTTGCATTTGTAGATATATTCATCAGCCATTATTAGCAACAGTAATGGGTCAAGGACAATCCCTTGTGGGACACCGCAACGAAACTGGATTTTATAAGGAATTCGGCACTTTGCCCGAGTTCTCCCTCATTTGATCCCGAGGAAATACTTTTCACAGTTAAGGCGCTGTGGTAGATGAGGTCGAACGGCGACGGTGACAGGTGTAATCTCACCTGTCCACGTTTGAGGAAACATCTGGTAAACCAAGAGGCGATGGTGGAATGCCCTTTGATATTATCAGATTTTTTTTTCACAATTTCTTACCGATTATACTCCGTGGATTTTGCACGGGAGAAGGAGAGGAGGCGAGATGAGTCTGAGGTCGTCGACAGATTCGGTGACAAAACTGTTAAAGGTATCGCAAAGGGATCGGATTCTCTTATCAGGAATGTCGTAAGGGACATGGTATCTACTTTGTTCGTTTTTTCAAAAGTTTATATTCGTATATAATCAGTGTTGTATAAAGGGTGGAAGGGGTAGGATGGTGCCAACGTCTGTTTGGAGTGGAGGGTGTAGCTTGTTTATGGTTGAAATGCAACTCGTGATAATGCTTTTGTCAAGAATTCTGAATGTGACTGTATCATGATCTTGGGTTGTTTCACGGATGTTACATATTAGTTAATACTAATTCCTTGGCTCACCTATTCTATGTTATTTTGCTCACATCACTTTCTTTGGTATTATTGAACCAATGTTTATCCCGATGGTGTGTGGCTGTTCCCTTTAAAGGACATTGTCTACTTCATCCCAGCTTGATCAATAAAACTGGCATTTTGCATTTTTGATTGAGGGCGTCGAGGACTGATCCATGTTTCGAACTCATGCATTTTAAAATCAAGGAACCTTTGAGTATGTATTTTCTGTTTTATTGAGTGGGTAT